ACCCCCTGGCCCCCTTGTTGTTTGCCTTTCTTCGCCTAATGTCTCTGTGAGCCGTTCGTCCCGGCAGGCTGGGGAGCGAGCGGGGGGGGAGCTCCAAACTGCCGGAGACGATCTGTGAACGCAGGGAGTGCTCTCTGCTGCAGGGGAGAGGAGGGGGAAGCAGAGGAGGGGTCTCTCTGGCTGTCGGAGCCCCATGTAAGTGGCACCATCCGGCCGGCCGGCTCGTTTTGCATGGGGGGGGGAGGGAGGAGTCCGGACATTTACAAATTCCCCCCATACGCTATTTTTAGCGCAAAAAGCCGGACATGTCCGGGGGAATCCGGACGAATGGTAACCCTAGACAGGGATAAATCATGCAAGCAAATTGTGCATCATAGTTGTGAAAGGAGTTACAAATGCAATAAAAAAATAAAGTATTCAAAAGTTTAACAAATGGGGGAGGGGCACCGAAAACACTTCTTGTCTGGGGCACTGTTTGGGCTAGGGCTGCCCACTGTTAGGTGAGCGCGAACCACAAACATCCTGAAGTTATTCGCAGTATTTGTCCTGGGTTTTTAAATGGTGCCCAGGCCATCACCTGTGTCCTTTTGCAATCTACTACTCAGCTGGCCATCCCTTTGGCTGTGAATTGTTGTTCCACTCAATCAACACACAGCTCGGCCCATGTGACATCCTCAGGGCCATACAGGTAATTCTGGATGCAGCCCACAATGGTAAATAGGTTGAGAACCACTGCACTAGCCTGGTTCCCCATAGCTGAACAGGGGGTGGTGGGGGGAGGTCTGAGCACCTCAGTGAGTTTCATGCATTTACTGCATGTCCCGTAGAGTTTAGCAATCATCCCTCTCTGGTGTTTGCCCTCCTGGCCCCAGGCTTGGAACGTCCCCATTTAACACCAGTTAGAAACCCAATTAATCTGTGTCCTGAAAAAACCAAGACCCTGCAGGCACACAACATTACTCATGTGAGTCAAACCCATTGTAGTCAATGGAGTTACTCACCTGCCCCTGCAAGCTCCCAGAGCTTTTAGCGTTGGATCATTTGCCAAAACGATTTCCATCCTTTTGTAGGGGCTGTGAGCGGTGAATGAGAAACACCCCCACCCCACTATGGGCCATTCCTGTGTTTCTACAATCTATCTTGAAAGCCTTAATACTCAGATGGGGGCTGGTGGAGAGGAACTTAACTCTCAGGGTATATGTATGCAGTGTCTGGGGGGGTCGGTGCCTGGCACCCAGCCCCGACACCCTTTTAAACCAGTGCCCTTTAATACAGAAGGTGCAGACATGTGGCGCTGGGTGAGTTACTGATGTGACTGCGTGGCACTGAGTGTGCGGTGGGATCTGCGTGGTCAGGCCCTGGTGACTCTGTGTACATTCGGATCTGACTGCAGGTTTGGGGATTGTTTGAGAAGCACTGAATAAAAAAGGGGCACCAAGAGGGCAGAACATTTCCCTATAGTGCAGGAGTCGCTGGGAGAGATTCTCTGGCTTGTGCTGTTCCAGGGATCGGACTAGGTCTCTTCTGGCCTTAAAACACTAGTTGCTATGTTAATTATTATTAATTAGCTGAGCTTGTAATCGTCAGGACCCAGAGCACAACACACACAGAAATAACTTGTTGCGGCAGCTGGATTTATTACGGTCTCTTGCACTTGCTCTGGCTATGCATCACCAATCCTCACCGAGATGGCCTCCCTCTTCCCCTTGTCTGGGTCCAGCGGAGTGGTGAGAGTCTACATGTTCCCAGACGTGACACATTCTGTCTGAACTAGTTGGCAGCCATGGTGCTCTTGATCCAGGGCAGCAGGGAGCAGACTTTGGTGTAGACTCCGGGTTGGTCCTTCTGGGCACAGCCGACCCCCCAGGACACAATGCCCTGCAGCTCCCCATTGCAGACCAGTGGACCACCAGAGTCTCCCTGTGTGTAAGTTGAGAGGAAGGAGATGCCAGCAAATTAGTGGGCGGTTAGTCACTGTACCTCCCCAGTCCCTTATACTGCATGCATCACCCAGATCCCTCCCCCTGTCTGCTGGCAGGAGGGCTAGAGTCTCTCTAACAGCCTGACAGGGCCGTGGCCATTAGCCCTCACCTGGCATGCATCCTTGCCTCCCTCCAGGTAGCCAGCGCACAGCATGGTGCTGGTGATCATCCCGGGGTAGGAGCCCTCGCACTCTGCGTTGCTGAGAATGGGGATGTTGACGCACTGCAGGTTGTAGGGGCTGAACACTGAAAGGTAGAGGGGAATTGTTAGCACCAGGCATTCTCCTCCTTCCCATGCTGCACCCTGGAGGGATGAAATCTGCCTGAGCACTAGCCAGGGAGGCAGAATACTCTGAGTGGGCATGAGCGCACCTGGATTCTCTCCCTGGCTCTGGGAGGGGAGTAGGGGCTAGTGGATTAGGGGGGGCGGGGAGGGAGCCAGGATTCCTGGGTACTATCCTGGCTCTGAAAGAGGAATAGGGGCTAGTGGGTTAGAGCAGGGTGTGTGGGGTGGGGGAGTCAGGACTCCTGGGTACTATCCTGGCTCTGGGAGGGGAGTAGGGGCTAGTGGATTAGAGTTGGGGGGCGAGGCGGGAGCCAGGATTCCTGGGTACTATCCTGGCTCTGAAAGAGGAATAGGGGCTAGTGGGTTAGAGCAGGGTGTGTGGGGTGGGGGAGTCAGGACTCCTGGGCTCTGTCCACAGCTCTGGAGGGGCTTTGGCTTAGCTTCCCCCCTCTATAAAATGTGGATGGGCTCCCTGTGGGGTGGGGCAGGGGCACATGTGAGGATGGTTTAGTTACTGTTGGCAATACCCATCGCCTTGTGTCTGGCCTTTGTTTTCTCAGATATGGGAACAAGGGCCTTGTGCTAACTCCATGCACCTGTCGCTGTTTCAAGCACCAGTTCTCAGCCGGCCTCAGCGGGCACTAACCTCTGGGCTGTGCCAGCTGGCCAGGTCTGGGCAGTGTCAATACAGGGCGGAGGGTGTGCAGAGATGGGCTCAGAGCTCATCACTGGGGTTGTGGAAGGGGGCTCCAGTGGAGTTTGGCAGGCCAGGTCAGGGTACCCCACTTGTATAAAATCCCTCTTTGCTGTCCCTCCCCCCCCCAACCCTGCCTCTCTGTGTCTGTGCTTTGACTAGGAATTCTCTGGGCAGGGACATCCACAAATGCCTGGTACATCGTGGGCCGTGTCATCAGCAGATGATGGCGCTGAGCAGCCTCGGAGCTCCTGAGACAGAGAGAGGGCGAAACTCACCACCGTCACTGAGGATATTGCCCCATCCCGACACCACACAGGAAGTGCCGGCAGCTGGGCAGGCGGTCGGCAGGGAAACGGGCTGGACATAGGCGTCCGTCCGGACAGGGTGAGCCAACTTGATGAGCATGATGTCGTGGTCCAGTGTCTGGTAGTCATAGCTGGGGTGCCACACAATGGTCTCGATGCGCATCAGGTGCTCGGTGTGTTCAAAGACCTGGATGTTGTGGTCTCCCAGGATCACCTGCATGGAGTCGGGGCTGGGAAACGAACGGTGGCTCAGAGCCCCTCTGGACAGGCCGCACCAGCCCCTCTAATCTCAGCCTGCTCCCACCCACCTGGTGCTGCAATAAAGATGCAGTCACACACACACACACACACACACACACAGAGAATTCCACACTTACTAGTACCAGCAGTGGGCAGCTGACACCACCCACTGGTCCGTGATGAGGGATCCTCCACAGAAATGGTACCCGACATTAAGGGAGACCTGCCAGGGCTGTGAATGGGGGCTGCACTCGTATCCCCCGACAATCCTGTCTACTCCCTGTGGTGCAGCAGCTGTGGGGAGAAAGCATCCACTGGATTACATGGGTGACATCTGTAATGAAGTGGCAAATCCTGCAGTGGGGTTGGGAAAGCTCTGGACTCTTGTTCCCGTCCCCCCCTTTGGGTCTGACGAGCTGGTGGTGGGCCCTGGCGCTGACCAGGATGGATGCTGTTAGTGTGTCGAATCCTTAAAGTGGAGGACTTTAGAGAACCTAAACCCAGGAGTGTTGCTTTAATGGGACCACGAGCCCACTCCTGTAATGGGATCCACACAGATGTTCTCTCAGTGGGACTCCAGTGGGCTAGTGCTCTCCGTACGGGTCGGACTGTGGGATCGGGGACTGCTGCTATCTCTCCTTGGGTTTTTACATTTTCTTGCTGTGTTGGAAACGCACCACAAGAGCCTTGACTCATGCAGACAGAAGCCAGGAAATGAAACTGCTGAGCCTTGTTCCACTTGCCTGAGATGAGCAAAATGCAGAAGGTGAATAAATCCCATACAGGGTGACTAGAACTCAGGCGTTTGCACCAGTCTCTGCCATGATCAGTGACATGGGAGCATTTTAGACATTGAAAATGATCCTCCAATGTCTTTTGGATAAACTCTGAGAGAGATAAAGGGCCTTGTTTACAATCTGCAGTGGGAGGGAACGTGTCTGTCAGGAGCATTAAACTCGTGAGCACTGGCAAGGTGGCGCAGACTGAGCACGTGTGAGTCTAGGATGCCCATTTGGCTTGTGGGATTCATTGTTTAGGCCCCGATCCTGCAAACACTCGTGCATACATATGACCTTACTCAGGTGAGTCAGCCCATTGGGTTTGTGCACTATAAGTTGCTGGATTAGGGGCCTTATTTTGGCAATAGTCATTTTAAATACCACTGTTAGATAGACCGGGCTCTCTCCTGTGCGGCAGTGCGCCACTGCTCTGTTCCCATTTATCTGCATGGATTGTTAAATTGCATAGGCAGTTGCTTGACTACACTTCGGTTTGTTATGAGGTAGATTCAAGTGACCGAATAACCAGGATCAGCGAGGTTTATTGCTGAAAGCCAGTAATAAGATAGTACAGGGAAAAGGTTCTATACGATACCAGTCTCCAGGAAGCCGTCTCATTCAGCGTTGTTACATTCACCTAACACGGAAGGTGTGCTCACGAAGTTACGCCCCTAAAGCCATCTTTTTATACCCTGTCTGTTTACAAGTACAAGGTACTCTGTATGTCATCTGAAACTAGATTTAACTAATCCGCTTTCTACCTTGTTTTCCTGGTACCATGTCCTACCCCTTATCTCTTTGTTCTGAAGACTTGCATTCCAGGGACCAAAGAGCATGAAGGCACCTCCTGGGTCTGAGGGTACATCTACACTACAGCGGGGAGTCGGTTTAAGATACGCAAATTCAGCTACGTGAACAGCGTAGCTGAATTC